CTCCATCTTTATAAATGGGGTGGTAAGAAAACAGAAAGCCTGTCTGTGATCTATGGAATCCATAAACATGATCTATGAAGTTTAGAACTACTTTTTTAAAGCAGTGAGATTTATAAAACTTGGAAAGTAAGAGGGCTAAAGCAGTTGTTTATTCACTCCACACATCAGTTTCTGCAGTATACTCTATGGACAACTGACATAAACCTCCTGAGACACAGACCCTCATTAAAATGCATGGTATGTAAAATTCAGTTATTTTTAATGAGGCTATTGACATTCCCCAGTCAAGAATGCTAACAATGCTGTTTGGTTGTCATATTCATCTTTTTATATTCCTTTAAAACTAAATCAGGGATATCAATTTTGGTAAAGTATATTGAGTAAGATAAATCCCTGTCTTATTAAAAGGATTTCTTAGACTAGTGACTGTATTTGAATATTTGGACAAAATACATATGCAGAATTATTACTGCTAACTTTTTTTTGAGCTAATGTGTATTGAGTACTAACAACAGAGCAGGTTCTGTTCTATTTGCTTTACGTTAATTAATTAATCCTCATCTAACTGAATTAGATGCTATTAATACATTTTACTGATAAGTAAGTTAAAAGATAGGAACTTAAATAACTTGCCCAACTCCACACAGCTAGTAAATAGGATATTGGAAAACCGTTTTTTTTTGAGAGCTGTAGATGTCAGCTAGCTTAGCCTAGCTCCAGTGATGTCTCTGGAGATGATGGAGAGTGGGCTCCAGGTCTCTGAATTCCAAGTTAACATACCATCCCATAAAGTCATGCTACTTTATATATTCATAAACAGTACAGGTATAGCATACTCACAGAGTTGAAGCCATGGGGCCTTCAAGTTCAGTGTCAGCAAAGACTGTCCCCAAGAGAGGTGCCCCTCGACGTTCCTCGATCTCCAAACTGTCCCTGTGCTAAGCTCCCTGCCTTATTGTTCATTCTACTAACTTTTTTATGGTAATTTAATTGTAATGCAAAATTTGAGCAATATAGACAAACATTAAAAAAAATACAATTTTAAAGCATCCATAATTAATGCATTCTTCATTCAGAATAAACCCCTGTACCTATTTTAGTGACTATACATTGATTTTTTTCCCATGCATATGCATGTGTATGTATATATGTGTGTATATGTGTGGGTGTGTGTTTTACTTAATTTGGATGCATGCAAGCATGCAAAGTCACTTCATCCATGCCCAACTCTTTGTAAACCCATGGGCTAGAGCCCGCCAGGCTCCTCTGTCCAGGGGATTCTCCAGGCAACAATACTGGAGTCGGTTGCCATTTCCTTCCCCAGAGGTTCTTCCCAACCCAGGAATCAAACCCAGGGATCGAACCCAGGTCTCCTGCATTGTAGGCAGATTCTTTACTGCCTGAGCCGCTAGGGAAGCCCATGCAACAATCCTACAGCATTGTATATACATGTGTGTGTGTATACTGTGTGCACACATATGTGTATGTGTGTATATGTATGCGTGTTTGTATATGTGTGTGCATATACACACGTACACACATGTACATATATGTGTGTAAGTGTATGTATGTGTATGCATACACATGCATAGACACATGCATATGTGTGTATATATACATGTGCATACACACACGTGTATATGTGTGTGCATATATGTACACACATGTATATATGTGTACACACATGTATACGCATGTGTGTATACTCACATGCATGTATATGTGTATGCACATATGTACACATGTGTGTGCACATATGTACACACATGTGTATATGTGTATACACACATACGTACACACATGTATATGTGTGTATACACATAAGTACACATGTGTATATGTGTGTATACACATACGTACACACATGTATATGTGTGTGTGTGTGTGTATATATATTATATGTGTATGTAATATACATTATACTTCTGAGAGTACCAACTAACCTACTACCTTGTAAAAATTGAATTCTGGTGTTATCTTTTTTCTTTAATTTCTGATGCTTTTTTATAGGTGAAAAACTGCAGCATTTTGCTTTAAATTTCATTTTTATTACTTTGAAGAGTAAACACTTTTTCATGTTTATTGGGCCCGGAACTTTTTTCCATGTCCTGTTGCGTTTTTACTCCAAACTGGGTCTTTCTTGAAAGATCTATCATCTGACATGAGCCTAGCTCTGGCCTCGGCAGCAGTGAGGCTCTGTGTTCTGCTTTTGCTCACCTAGCATTTCAACAGCCCACTGCCCTTTCTTTTTGTGTTCCTACTTCCAGCCTCATGCTGATGGTTCACTGATTCTACCTCACATGGCATAGATAGAGAAGAAAGAGGGAAAAACGCCTACTCCTTCATCCACTGTATGAGAAGATTTCATTTACGCAAAATTTCAAATTTTAAATACCAGAAACAAATTTAATCATCAGAAGGATATCAAGAGATTTCTCTCTCTCTTTCAGAGCATCAAAAATACATCAATACAGTCCTGACGGGCATGGACAACAGCCGGTTACTCACTGAAAATGACGCCAGTTTATTAAGCATTTTACTAGGTACCAGGCACAGAATCTGAAGCTTTTATATATACACTTTCTCTTAATCCTAACCAGAGTTTCAAGAACATTATTACTCTATATAGTTTAAAAATCCACATCAGAGCGTAAATTTGTGTACGAGGTTGACAAGCAGCGAAGCTGGGTTCAGCTTAAGTGTTGGGTGTTTAACCCATGCTATTCCCCAGCTGATTCAGCACAATAATTATGATGCCATTAATTTCTTGGAATCTTCTCCTTTTCATCTGCTTGCGTCTGATAATATAACATTCCAGCGAGTCAACCCCACCCTTTTGAGAAGTTTCACCCAAAACAACTGACTCTGTAACAAACTTCCAGTTCTCAAAACTATGATCATTTCTAAATTCAAGGTGGAATTTAGTACAGGTGTGACTATGGTTAATGATTTATAGCACTAAATACATTTGAAAAACATAAAGCTCCCCTATTCTTAAAACAATAATCACAGGAACATTTCCTGGTATCACTCACAAACTCTGGAATTTGTCACCTACTTTTGGCTTTTCTACAAAAAGTCTTAGGATAAATGATTCCAAATGTCTGTGATATTATGAGACAAGGTATAATCCTCCAACTTTGTGCATTCTCAAGATTGTTTTGACTATTCTGAGTCCCTTGTGCTGCCCCAAATTTTAGGATCACCCTGTTAATCTCTTCAAAGACAACTTGTTCAGATTTTGATATAGTTGTGTTTACTCTGTATATCACTTGGAGGTTATTGCTATTTTAACAATATTAGGTCTTCCAACCCATGAACATGGAATGTCATTTTGTTTATTTAGGTCTAATTTAATTTCTTTCAACAACATTTTCTGGTTTTAGAGTACAACTTTTGCATCCTTTTATTAAATTTATTCCTAAAAAGTTTAATATTTTTGAGCTATGGTGAATGCAGTTTTTTCTTAATTGTATTTTTTGATTGCTCATTGGTGACATACAGAAATATAACTGATCTTGTATACTGCTCTTGTATCATGAAGCCTTTCTGAACTTGTTTATTAGCACTAACAGCTTTTTAGTTGATTCCTTAGGATTTTCTAAATACAAGACCATGCTATCTGCACATAAAAATTGTTTCATTTCCTTTCTAATCTGGATGCCTTTCATTTCTTTTTCTTGCCTAATTGCCCTAGCTAGAACCTCTAGAACAATGTTTGATAGATATCTGGAAAGCAAAGAACTTTGTCTTTTTCCTGATCTTGGATGCAAAAACGTTATTTTTCAACATTGAGTATGATGTTAGTGAGTTTTCACAGATAGATTCCATAGTTTGAAGAAATTCTTTTCTATTGTAGTTTGCTGAATGATTTTATCATAAAAAGTGTTAGATTTTATCAAATGCTTTCTAATTTATTAAGATTATCTTGTGGCTTTTGTCCTTTATTCTGTTGACATGGCATATTATAACAATTGATTTTTTATAAATTAACCTTGCATTTCTGGGATAAATCTCACTTGGTCATGGTGTATAATCCTTTTAATATGTTACTAGATCTATTTGCTAATATTTCACTGAGGATTTTTATCCACATTCATCAGGGAGATTTTCTCCTCATGTCTCATCTTGTTTTGGTATAAGGGTGATACTGACCTCATAGTGTGAGTTGCAAAATGATCATCTCCTTCTTCGCAAGAATTTATAAAGAATTTATATTAATTATTCCTTAAATATTTAGTCATATTTTTGTTCTTTTAACTTTTTACATTTTAAAAAATGTAACTCCAACAGCATACCCCCATAGAAGGAAACTGAATGTCCACCCTTTCACTTTGTAACAACTCTGAGATTACAATCTATGGCAGCGATCTTTGATCAACAATAGTATTATCAAAGTTTGAGGTACATCCAGGGAAGAGAAAGAAGTTCCCTAATTCACCCTTAAAAGTTTCCCAAGTTTATCCATTCGTCTGCTGATGGGCATCTAGGTTGCTTCCATGTCCTGGCTATTATAAACAGTGCTGCGATGAACACTGGGCCAAGTTTAAAAAGGAAAAGGTGGAGTAGCCCGGATCTTGGTGTAAACGACTGGTCCCGCACCCTCGGCTCTCTCCCCGTCCTCCACTACCTCGCCCGGTGCCGGGTCCAGTGCCAGGTACTCGCAGATCTAGCTAAGTGACACCGAGGATGACTGTGGCATCATCCCGCTTCCGTCAGCATCTGGAGCGGAAAGGGGGTTGGGCCGAGAGGGTCTCCCGGGCGGGGCGGAGGAGGAGAGAGTGCAAAACACAGCCTCGCCCCTGGAGCCCTGGAAGGAGCAACGCCCCTCGCTATAAATTTGGAGCTGCCTCGGAGAGGACGGTTCCAGCGCCAGTCAGCCCAGGGCCCGAGGCGACCGAGCGCCCGGGCAGACGCGCGCGACCAGCAGCTCTGCCCACCCGGGACGCCGATCCAGGAGGAGGGACCCAAGCGGACCCCGGGCGGGAGCACACACCCTGAAGCGGCGCCGCCGGCCCGCCCGACGCCGGCACAGCGTCCCGAGTGAGTGCGGTGAGCGGCGCGGACCGCCCGCCAGCCTGGGGGCCGGGGCGGGGGTGTCAGCTGCGGGCGCGGTGCCGGGAGGCTCTCGGGACGGTGCCGAGAGCGGGCTAAGTTCCAGCCGGCGCCCGCTGGGAGGTGGGGGACCTGCCCCAAATCAGACGTGACCGCCCGCCAGCCTGGGGGCCGGGGCGGGGGTGTCAGCTGCGGGCGCGGTGCCGGGAGGCTCTCGGGACGGCGCCGAGAGCGGGCTAAGTTCCAGCCGGCGCCCGCTGGGAGGTGGGGGACCTGCCCCAAATCAGACGTGGAAGAAGCCATCTGATCTTGTCTGCCGCATGCCCCAGACGTTTCACTCTGATTTGACCAAACTCTGTCGAGCACAAGTGAGGAATCTGCAGAGATGGGATGCAACCTAGGAAACTTTCTTCCCGAGGCTTTTAGCTAACTCAGGTCTTTAAACTGTGATCTGAGCATATGACTCCGCAAGGCGGGAGTCCCTTTAAAAGTTGTGCCACTTTAAAGGCGTACTTGATTGTCCCCACGTTCTGCTAACCAGGCCGGCCAGGCACCAGCAAGGCTCACCTCCCCACCACCCGTCTTTACAAATGATAACGCTGGGTCCTTGGCCCGGGATGCTGAGTCCGCCTCGAATTAACTGGGGAGAAGGAAAACGGGGCTTCTCCACACACGCCAATCCCCACAACCCTGGCCAGAGCACGTTTGTCACTGAGGGGGATTTTAGGAGAAATTCTTCTGCTTCCAAGACCGAGCAGAGCCTCTTGCTGACGCCTTCCCTTTATACACCCTTCTACGTAGCACCCCATTCTCCAGTTCTCCTAAATGTCCAGCCTGATCTATCCACAGTGCCATTTGCTTTGTCTCCAGAAGAGTCTCCTGCCCTGAGGTATTGAACACATCGCGGGCCTCTTAACCTGATCTTTCTTTGCTGATGGTTTGATTAAGAATCAAACACCCAACAGTGGGCCTCTGGCGCTCTCTCTTCTTGGGGAAAGTTTGGGTGCTCCCTTTCCCTTGGGATCACATTGTCCACCTGGGTACTTGCAGTTTCTTTCCTGGAAGAGAGGAACAATGAGGCAGGGAGGAAATCTGGCCCCCTGCTGCTCTGTTTTATGACTTTTTTGAGCAACCTCTATCTCCTCTTCAAGTTGCTGTCATCCCCAATATGATTCTCTTGGTAGTTACACCGCCCTGGGTCTCCAAGATTTAGTCTCCTTAGCATAAGCTGTAATGCCTTTATAAGTCTTCTTTAAAAAGGAAACTGCCTGTTTCCCTTGCTGCCGGCTAGTGTCTTTCTAGCTCTCAAGGCCCAACCACATGGATAAGCTCTCTGGAGACTGATGGATTCCAACACCCATCTGGAAGATCGTGCAGGGACAAGGAAGCACAGAGAGCTGGGAATGGAGACTCCCACATCAGTGACCGTGTGCTGTTACAGTTTTTTCACAGCTCGTACCTCAGGTCCCTCTAGTGATAAAACTCCTTGATTCCTTTTGTTTCCTAGTTATTGCTTTAAAAAATAAAGTCTAAAATAATCACCCTTTTAGCCCATGTCTGTGCTCCTCAAAACTGTCTAAATAGCTCTCCTGGTAAATTATCTGCTCTGGAAAATCATTAGGTCCAAGTGTCCATCCCCTAGATTACAGCTGGCAGTTTCTACAACCTGGCTTAAGCTCAGGGAGTGGCCCCAAGTTGCTGGATCTCAACACTTTGCTAAAGTTTTCATGATTAGTAGTATCTAGTCCATTATCCACTCTATTGCCCCCCCCTTTTTTCTTCCTAATTTCTTTGTTTTTTGTGTCCATCATGAGGCCTCAGTTTCTAGCTCAGTTCTTCTTTGGTCTTAAACTGAATCAACTGTCCCATCATCCAACCCGAAAGAAAGCTGGTTTGCTTCCACTGAAGCCAAAGGGAGACAAGTTTTATAAAGTGTCTTCCAGTCACTCTCGCTCTGGCAACGCTCTGCATCCCAAAAGCTCGGAGCTCAAATCTCTGCTATCCTTTTACCCTGCTGTAGTGCTCAGACCGTGACTTTGTGAATTGTTCAGGTTTCGTCTGTTCTTTCTTTTCCTTCTTTGAGTGAGAGTTGTGTGTGTGTGCTGGTATATAATTTGGGGTTATTTGGGGGCTGCTGCTGCTTATTACTGTTGTTGTGGTTACTATGACTAATTCTTGTCCTGTGCTAGATGAAAAATAATGAAAGAAAATGTGCTGCTTACCCAAAGCCCAGGTGAAATACTTGAGAGCTTCTCAGGTAGCTCAAATAGTTAAGAATCTGCCTGCTATGCAGGGGACCTAGGTTCGATCCCTGGGTCGGGAAGATCCCCTGGAGAAGGGCGTGGCAACCCACTCCAGTATTCTTGCATACAAAAGTCCATGGACACAGGAGCCTGGCGGGCTACATACAGTCCACGGGGTCTCAAAGAGTTGGACACAACTGAGTGAGTTACACATCCACACGTTCGAAAAGGAGTTTGAAACTCACAGTTAAAATGCACGATTCACGCCTCCTGTGGTTTTATCTGTCTGTCACAGTGTCCTTCTTATGCCGCTGACAGTTGCTGTGTTTTGTTTTCAAGTTTTCAAATTTGATACGGGGACCAAGATCCAGACCCATCACACTTAGATGCTTTGGCTGCCTGCTGCAGGCGCCTGGTCTTTTGCCCCAAGCTCAGTAGTTTACTTATTCCTTTTCCTGCTCAGTCATGACTGAGCAATGCCAGAGTCTCTCAAGAGCAGGCTGAAAAATTAAAAATTTTATTTAGAAGTTTGAAGTACATCCAAGTGTTATAAAAATTAAAAAGCTGTTTTGAAGACAGACTGTGGCAATAAACAAATACAGAGCCAGAGCAACAAAATATAATGAAGTATCCAAGTATAAAAAAAGTAACCAAACACTTTTCACCCGTGTTATCTAGCAAATTGGAAAAATCAGCTTCTTAACCCATCACTACTGGAAAGTACTATTATTTTCTTCAAAATGATTATAAATTTTCTCTTTCAAAACTGTCTGAAGTCATCTATTAAAACAGTACACTAAAGCTTCCACAGCAAAAGTAAATTTTGTTCCATTTCCCACCTAAATTTAGCTGTCACTTTACATTTTTTTATTTTTAATCATAATATGAATTTCAGCTATGAAAAATCAACTTTTCAATGGCTTAATATACAAAGCCATCTTATCTAGAAGTATCTGTACAGATTTAAGGTAATAGGCAAATGATTTGACAAGTTACTACTATTATCCTATTAAAGCTCTAAAATATATCTAAAATACATCACAGCAAAAAAAAAAAAAAGATTCTAAAGAGTTATAAATTTGCCAGATGCTTTGTTTGGTGGTTACTTTAATGACAAACTTGACAGTTAAAAAATAAAATATATGTTTAGAACAATCATAACATGACAAGTGAATCTTAGCTGTGGTTGTATTAACATTAAAAGTTTTCTATCTGATTTTGATCCTTTCTCTTCATAGCAGATGATCACTGTGGGAAAAAATTTCCTTGACTATGAAAACCAAAATTTCTTTCAAAATATTTTACTAACAAAGATGTGTGTATACACACACACACACACACACACACATATATTCTTTGTGTGTGTATATATATATATATATACACACACACAAGAAGTGTCTAGAATCTGCCAGTTATCATTTGATTTTCCTTCCTATAGTCAAGAATATTTTAAGTTGTGTTGCCCATTTATTTTTCTAACACAGATTGGAAAAATAGGTAAGAAATAGGTATGCTTTATTTTTCATAGTCTAAGTCCCAATTCTACATGTCTTTAATATTTAAAATCATAGCATTAATAACCGTTCAGTTTGGGTCAAGTTTTATGGGATTTCTTGTTCTCTTCATTCAAAGCTGCTTTGTTCTTCATCAGATGATGTTAAAATCTCATTTAGATCAATGAATTAAAGTACTTTGACTACATAGTTAACTTCAGAGTAAGAATACTGAAGAATACGCATTTGGTTCTGTGCTTTTTTAATAGAATAATTGTAACAATATACTATAATAAAAGTTATAGGGATATGATTCCGTACTTTTAAAGAGAGTTAATTATTGCTAATTTCCTCTGCAAGTTTTCTTTAGTTATTTCTTATTTAATCAAAGCTCCTCTTATCTGCCTTGGAAAAGGAAGAATTATATGTATGAAATATGTCAACAATAGTAGAAGATACTTACTGAGGGAATGCAATGGATCTGACAGATCTTAGGCCCTGAGGACACACCAAAGTATTAAAATGGTCTTTGTCCTAGAGAGATGTTGGTCAAGCTAAGTACATATTTAGATATAGGTCTCGCCCATCATCTCAGTGCCGCTGGGGTAGGAAGCCATTTAAAAACAACCCTCTCTTCCTTCTACCTTTCAGACCGAGTGGAATATCTAATGCGGTTACATGTTTGATTCTGGCCCCTTCCATAATAACCACCACAACTTGCCTTTCCCCATGGGGTTTTAACTCCTTCTATAGTATGCACCACACCCAACTGCAACCTTGTATTCTGTTATTAAAGTCATCTTGCCTGTTTGTCTGATTTTGGCTTAATTTGTGGAAAACATAAAATACATTTTCAGATCCTTGTATTGTAGAAATGTTAGAAACCTTTCCTATTACAATAAAGTGACTTCAAAGTGTTGCTTTAGGCTTACTAATGGAATAACTAAGCATTAATACAGTTGCTTTAAATCTAAAGCTTTAAGTCTAAGGCAAGGAACTTCTGATTATTTTATTTTAAAAAATAATTATTTATTTTTAAAAAATAAGACAAGGGAAAGGTAAAGAATAAGAAAAAGAGCTATGAAAAGAATAAAACGTTGAAATATCAAAGCAGTGGTTCTTCAGGCATCAAAGAGCAGGTAAGGCAAGCATATGAAAATCACCTGGGAAGTGTTTTAAATCTGTCCATATTGTCTGCAATTTCCCTTTTTCTCCTTTCCCCGTTTCTTCCCTATTGAGAACCGCCACATTACCTCAGGTGTCAAGGTCCCCAGACTAACATCATGAGTATCACTTGGGAACTTAGTAGAAATTCAGACTTTCAGACCTCACCTGAACCGACTGAATCAGAATCTGCATTTTAGCAAGATCTTCACATGATTCAAAAGGACTTTAAAGCTAGAAAAGCACAAGTGACCGTACCTCTGGCTTGCTCAAATGATTACCTCGAGGCTATTTTTTTTGGCTTTTTAATAAAATAACATTTTTAACAAAGCTAACATTTATTGAGCATATACAATGTGCCAAACAATGTTCAGCCTTTCAATACTGTGTTTTATTTAACCCTCACAACATCCCTATATAATGTCACTGCCTCATCCGCGTTTTATAGATCGGGATGCGGAGTGATAATGCAATAAGTAGCTTACCCAGATTTGCCAACTGTTAGAGCCGAGATTTGAACACCGTTTTGATTCTGTGCTCTTTGTGGCCACCCACACTGTCTGCTCTACATCAGGCTGTCTGCTTTTTAAGACCAGTTTAACCCACTCCAGAGTTCTTGCCTCGAGAATCCCAGGAGGGACGGGGGCGCCTGGTGGGCTGCAGTCCATGGGGTCGCACAGAGTCGGACACGACTGAAGTGACTTAGCAGCAGCAGCAGCAATTATTGGACCAATTAATTCGTTATTAGTTATCGGATAATTATTGGAAATTTATAATTGGAAATCAAGTTCTGTTTTCCTCATAGAAAAAAGCAAGATCTATAACATTTTCCTGTCATCTTACCTTTAACAATGAAGGAATTCTAGGAATTCCTTCTTTAGTTGAGAAACAAGTAAGAAAACTATGATAGTTCATAATTTAAAACATAAGATTTGATATCTCTATTTTCCCAAAACTTACATGAAATTTATCTTTTTTACCTTTGTGTTCTGATGAACTTTTTAAAAAAGTTCTTGAGTTGAACAACCCATATCCTACATATATAAACTGTTTATCTTTCCAACTCAAATTATATATCACTTTTTCAGCTTTTAATATAAACACATATTTATCTGTAAGCATAGTTTTAATATAAACACATTTATCTATAAGCAGAATTTCTAAAACTTTAGTTGAATACAATACTAATCAGTCAGTCTGCAAACAAGGGTGCCTTATTTTAAGCCAGTGACTCCTCAAATGATGAGTCTCTGAAACATTTTTCCCAGTGCACATAGACTGTCTGAGAGCTGTCAGTTGGATTGGGTCAAATGTCTGTTGTCTTGACAGGGGCTCATTGATTGGGGTCGAAAGGCCGAGGTGAGTCTGGGCTCCCTGTGGTCGTGTTTTTTCAGAGGAGGGGTATGTCAACAAAACTGAGCAGCATGATTTTCTTCGTGATTAAGGGACATCCTTGGGAGACAGGATGTCACCAGCTGCTTAGATCTAGAACTTTCGGCAGCACTAATAGTACAGTGTCTAACTTGTAAGTTATAGATGAGGGCAAAAATCAACGCAGGGATGCCATAAAACCACGCGGCGAGGGCTCAAAAGGGAGCTTGTGCCTGGGAGACATCCTGCATACCAGCAGGCAGTCTCTTAGTGCTCATCAGTGATAAAGCACCGGGATTCTCCCGTGATTCTCTACCGTCCTGCTTGTCTCACTAACCCCAAATAGTTGTGAGTGTGGCTGAATTTAATCAACACTAGGGTTTTTTTCCTAAATAAACTGGGGAAAAAAAAAAAAACAAAACTCACAGCATTTCTTCTAAACTTCATCCATTTATAATTTCATCATCATATATGCTTTTCTTCACTTTTGGACCCAAACTCTTCTTGTTATACAATTCAGATGCATCTTACATACTTGTAAGTTACGTGGTATGCTGCTAGAACAAGAACGTTCCATTAACCCAGCTTTAATCATCTAATTCTCCTTCCATTCATTGAAGTGATGTCATGTCATGTAAAATACATTGTACCATGATGTCTTCCAGCACTTAACCTTCACACAGTTAATTGCTGCCACTTTATCAGGAATGGAAAATAATCTGATGTGATTCCTATGTAATAATTTCCTGACTGTGTTCTAGCGTTTGATCTACTGAATTAACAGAGTGGATTTTTGCAAGAAATACAAATCTATTCTCTTAAATTCCCATTACATTAAGCCATATGATGGAATAGTATACAGTCATTGTGTATTTTATATGTATATATTTTAAAATACCTGGTGACGAGGGAAGATAATCACAAGTGAATACATTAGTGTATAAAACATAAATGAGAGTGTGTGTGTGTGTGTGTGTGTGTGTGTGTGTGTGTCCTTGATAGATTCTTGTCAAGGTGCCATTAATTTCTTATTTGGGTCATTGGTGTTCTAATGAAAATAGTTTAGTTACACTAGCACTGATTTGAGAGCAGAATCACTTAGAGGTTTTTTAAATGCCTGCATATTCACAGAACAGATAAGAAACACTAGGCAAAATATATAACAAATCGTTAAAGCTTTTGAGGATTATTAAGATCAAGGCTAAGATCAAAGGTGACTTTTCTTCCCCTTTTTTGGCATGTACTTTCAGACTTTCCTATCATGAGCCTCTGTTCATACTTCTGTTTATCTTGGAATTTCTCTTCCTTTCCTTCTAACTCACTCTAGATTTCAGATCATAGACAACCACTATTAACCCTCTGGAGAATGATCCTGGCAAGTCAACCCTGTCTCCATTTTTTTTCCCTACGGTACACTAGAGCCCTATAAGAGTTCACAGATTTTACACAAGAGTGGCATTTTATAGGAAAAAACATCTCATGGGAAAATTTTTGCTATGACAACAAAACCACCAAAAAATAAGTTAAAAATATATTCTTCTAATGCCAAAATTCTCCTGTACCACATTGTGATAGTAAAACTCGTGTATGTTCTTGCTAGGAAAAAAAAAAAAAAAAACCTCTACACAGTCTTTTTGAGTAATTCATTAACTTTAAACAATTTCTTACTTAAAAAAATCCCCAAACCATAATGAAAAATATTGATGAATTTGGCTACATAAAAAATTTTAAATGGTTGTGTAGTAAAAAGCACCAGTAACAAACACAAAAGATAAACAGGGACTTAGGAAAGGTATTTGCCACACATTACATGTAAAATGCCAATTTTCGACATGAACTTTTTAAAACGAGAAACAATGAACCCAGTGGAAAAATGAGTGAAGGCCATAACTAGGCAAACTAGTAGAAAAATAACTGCAAAAAATAAAAATATAAAAAGAAGCTCAACCTCATTCATAACCAAAAATATGTAAACCAAAACAAATATTTATTTTTCACTTATCAGACTGAGAAAAAAATGTAAAATTTTGTACAAGTCAGATTTTTGGTATCTTACATACACATAGTCATTATAGAGGACATTTTGTAAGTAGCTTCCAAAACCTAGACTGTATGAACAATTTGTGTCAACAATTATGTTTGGAATTTATTCTACCAGTATAATCATATAAGTACAAAAATGCATATGTATAAATATGCTCATTGAGGCTTTTTTACATCCACAAAAGGGAAATAGGAAAAAAACCCTAAGGCCCATGATGTGTGCTGAGTCACCCAGTCATGTCTGACTCTGCGACCCCATGGACTGCAGCCCACCAGGCTCCTCGTCCGTGGGATTTCCCAGGCAGGAATACCGGAGTGGGTTGCCATTTCCTCCTCCAGGGGGTCTTCCCCACCCAGAGACTGAACCTGTGTCTCCTGAGTCTTCTGCATTGGCAAGCAAATTCTTTACCTCTGAGCCACCTGGAAAACCCCCAAGGCCCACGACAGGGGCTGATTTTATCAATTATCCTATTTCAGTGCAGGGAATAGAATACTATGTAGCTATCAAAATGAGTGAGATAGGTTTGTGTATCTGATGTAGAAAGTTCTGCAAGTGATATTACTGTTCTTTTTTTTAAAGGAAAGCAAAGTACAGAACATATAATGCATAAAATGAGAAACTATGGATATACACATTTATATGCATGGGTGCACTTTTTTTAAAAGTTCTAAAGGGTACATAAAAAACTATTAGTAGTATGTATTTCTGGGAAGTAGATCTGGAGAGACAATTAGAGAATTAAGAGATGTGTACCTTTACTTTATACATTTCCATAACTAGCCACTTGTACCATGTATATATATTACTTCTATGAAAAATTAAAATAGAAAAAAAAACTTTTAAAGAGATTTCTTTTCAAAATTATGACACAACAACACTTGTATAAGCTTTATATGCAAAGAATTACACATCACACTACCTACCATGTGTAAAACAGAATCACACCACCGTGCTGTAAAGCATAGGGCACTCAGCTCATTGCTCTGTGGTGACCTGGATGGGTCGGATGGAGCCGGGGGTGGTGAGGAGGACGTCCAAGAGTGAGGGGGATATATGTGTACAAATAAATTACTCACTCTGTTGTACAGCAGAAACTAACAGGACGTTGTATAGCAATTATACTCTAATAATCATATATCAAAGTTTGCTAACTCACAAGTAAAAATCTAATCATAAGGATGTCTCTTATATTTAGTAGTTATACCTACAGAAATGCCTAAGAAATTGCATTACTGTTGACCCCAAAACTCTTTTTCTTCTTCTCTAGCCTTCATCTACAAGGGTGTGAGGGAAGATGTTGACTATAATCAGGACGAGGATGAGGTCCCTTGACAGATAGTCACCCAGCAGAGCTAAGTCTGTATAAGGAAAAATATGTTCTTGATGTTGACAGATGGCTTCATTCCATTCAAAAACATTCTTAAGATGTAGTGTTAATGTTTATTTTATAAATTAGAAAATAAAAATCTGACCTTTTTTAATGAATCACTTAATGTTTCTTTTTTTCTTTCTTTCCAGATTTGATACATGATAAGCTGATCTACAAAGACTGAGGTTTTATCTGACTAAGTCACTGAAGTCATCCCAGAAGATCTGCATCCGGTAAATGTCTTACACCTATAACATTGCATCTCAGTAATTTTCTCTAATGTGTCGACAGTGAAGGTAGCACAGAAAGCCATACAGACTATTGTCAGGTGACAGAAACAGAAGCAGGAGAAAAGAATGGCATTCTTAGCCCATTCCTTCCAATATATAAAGAACATACATATTATTAATAATATAAATTTATTTTTTTAAGACTTTTTTGATGTGGACCATTTTTAAAGTCTTTACTGAATTTGTTACAAGATTGCTTCCATTTCATGTTTTGGCTTTTCGGCCCCAAGGCACGCGGATCTCCTCTCCCCGGCCAGGGACTGAGCCTGCGTCCTCTGCAAGGGAGGGCGAAGCCTTCGCCACTGCACCACCAGGGAAGTCCCCCAGCATGACTTCAAGTATAAACAGTGTCAGAATCGGAGGAGGCGATGGCACCCACTCCAGTGTTCTTGTCTGGAAAACCCCATGGGCAGAGGAGCCTGGTGGGCTGCAGTCCATGGGGTCGTGAAGAGTCAGACAGGACTGAGCGACTTCACGTTCACTTCTCACTTTCATGCATTAGAGAAAGAAAGGGCAACCCTCCAGTGTTCGTGCCTGGAGAATCCCAGGGACGGGGAGCCTGGTGGGCTGCCGTCCATGGGGTCGTGAAGAGTCAGACGGGACTGAGCGACTTCACTTTCACTTTTCACTTTCATGCATTGGAAAAGGAGATGGCAACCACTCCAGTGTTCTTGCCTGGAGAATCCCAGGGACGGGGGAGCCTGGTGGGCTGCCGTCTGTGGGGTCGCAGAGTCAGGCACGACTGAGGCGACTCAGCAGCAGCAGCGTCAGAATTATTCGTGTACTGATGGTAAACCGTGCGAGAGACTCGCAGCCCCGTGGCAGGGATCTCCTCGTGGTCACAGGTGTCTGTTCTGCGCAGTGCTTTCTATGCGGTGTAGGGCTTTAGGAGGGAAATGACCATGCTCTCTCATCAGCCCCCAAATGGGCCACTGGGGCTCTGTGACCCCAAGATCTCACTTCTTGAGGCATATGTCTAAAGACTATAAACCCTGAAACCACCTATTCAGGTTCAGAAAACCCGAACATCTCAGAGTTTCCTTCTTACAAAAGTCTCCCTTACTCCAATAAGGTGTAGGGAAAAGGTCTCTGAAACTGGGTACAGAGGCACCCTTTAACTCCCGAGCAGTTTAGCCCCTGGTAGACGTGAGCCAGTGGCGTCACACGCGGGGCGCTCCACTCAGAACCTCAGAGAGCAGCTAGGGGCTGCTCTGTCCGCTCATCTCCTATCAACAGGCCGTACGATACTTTTCATAGACAGACTCCTTGACTTACCCTGCTGGCAGGGTTTTTATCTCCTGACATAAGCTCAGCTCAAAGAACAAATCCTCAGCTTCCCAAATTAACAGGAGAGACATTCCCTAGGTCCTCCAAGGAAAATGAAAAGAGTAGCTTGTCCCTTTCTGAATGTGTCATGGCTGGATTTTATCAAAGTAGAAGGTAGATAAGATAGGTGGTGGGTAGGCAGACATATGTTAGAGGTAACTGGTCTTTTTGATTGACAAGTAGGAAACACTTGCTGGAAGGCAGTCCACAGTGGTGTTAGAAAACTATTTAGGACTGCTTTAATCTTGGAAGACAAAAATAGTAACGTTCTGCAGAGTTCTGCCGCTGGAGATCTTTAGGGGTTTTTTTTGTTAGGTGTAGTTGAAATTTCAGAAGCTGGGCTATGCACATTTTCAGCAAAAATCCAGCTCTGGGAAAATATATTAAAATATATGTCCCAGTTAGGAAAATACGAAAACTAGAAGCTTTCTTTTACATCCTAAGAGTACTGGACAGAGGGAGCTCTTTACATATTCACCCCCTCAGCCTTAAAGCAGAAGAATCAAGATAATAATGCAGGGGTGTTCCTCCTGGGAAGGGTCCTTAGATCAGCCTCTCCTCCTGTATTTTGGAAGCCCCTAAGTTTCTGATTAACATTCACACATCTGTAGTAAAACTTTCCAAATAACTATGACATTTTGCGTACAAATAAGAAAACACTGAACGAAAACATCCTGTACAATGTTAAACGTTTTTAGACCTTTCAGTTTCAGATGAATGAGCAAAAACATGCTTAATTCTAAGAAGTTACTTTCCACTGAAGAACTAACATCATACAGTTCTTCCACTAACTAGCAACTTTGCCTTAGGAAGAATCTCCAAGCCCCGTCCCAACCCATGGTCATTATATTGAAATACAAAAAGTGTTTTCCGAGGGCCTTCTGAACTTTGTATTGTCACTTTAAAACTTTCATCAACTTAACAACTACAGAACTTTGATCTTTTATTGATTTCAACCAGTAATGTGTAAACAGCATTTCAGAGCTTGTTTTATATTGTAGAAACAAAGCTACTTAGGCTGAAACCTACTTATGATAAATGGGAAAACATGGTTAATACATATAAAAGAATAAAAATATTCAGGGGCTTAAAATCTATGGTAATCATCTGCCCCATGTAGCTGTTTACATTAATTATAAATGCGTTTAAAAACTGAGTTCCTCAGTGATCCTAGCCACATTTCAAGCTCTCAATAGACCCATGTAGGTAGTGGCTACTGTGCTGAGCAGCACAGATATTTCTATCATTTCTATCATTATGGAAAGTTCTACTAGACAGTGCTATTATAACAAAATTATTAATAATGCAGTAGACTTCCATTGCTACTTGGTAAGAAAGTTTTGGGCTCTTTTATATGTCTTTGGAAATTTTAAAGTATTTTTTAAATGCTAATTTTCTTAACTGTAGGTTATCTGGTGTATGGCTCTCACAAGCCCCTTTTCTCTTTCCTATTTATTTGCATATTAAGATATGTGGAATTAAATGTTTTACTTAAATGTTTATTTAAATATTTTATGTATTCTTACAAAATTAGAGGGTTTTGTTTCCTTAAAAACTGTGAAAAGTTGTACACATAGTTATGTTGACCTAATATATGGCTGTTAGCTTTTTTACTGAATCACTGACGTCTCCAAGTAAGCAAAACTAGAAAAGATGTAGGATCATTTTTAAAGGCCAGTATTTTTTCTTTCTTCTTTATATTCTGTAAGATTTTATTTTTCCTACAATGATAGATGGGTCTCAATCATACCGACTTTACTAAAGGTTCATTTTTTTAAGCAACTGAAGAACCAAACAAAATAACTATTAGATCATTTATTTCCATTTCATTTATGGAAATGTGTAATATATTAATAGTCTCTGGATTTCCAACTAATTGTATAACAAAGAATAATAGCTTGTTTATAATTTTAGTTAATATAATTACCCCCTCTACAGTGTAGACTTAAACTTCTTATTCGCCATTGTTCCTCTACTATGATCCCATCATTTAACATCAGTTTCAATTATTTTCCAGTCACTTATATCTAGTAGTTCAATTAAATTTGGTTCCTGGACTAATGGTTATATGTTACATAAGGTAATAAATTAAAAGCAAATTTATCTTTGAGTCATTGAAGCATCAAGGATTTGAAATAGCTATATAAAAAGCTATGAAAAAGACATAACTACTCAGCCAATATTCCTCTACACATTTAATAGTATCATTTTTCAGTGAAAGCATAAATAATAGAGATGTAGATCCAGTTTTGAATTGTTGAATATGAATCCAAATCTTACCAATGAAAAAACAGCAGAGTAAAGGTTAGCCGTCTGTGGAGCTTTTGGTTTTTTTAATAAACCAAAAAATAGCTTTTTCTTTATAGGATAACAGGTTTACTGTAAATAACCTATTATCCATATAGTTTATTCACAGTAACATTCATCCTAGGTTTAAATAATATAGCTAGATATGCACAGCATACAACTATATAGGAGATTCTAATTTAAACTGGATTACTATTAATACTTTTAATAATTAAAAGAGCTCAGAGAATTAGCCTCTAAACTTCATGGATTGGTTTTGCTGGCAGGAGGCACTTTTCACCAGTGCTAGAAGCGCTGTCATCCTCTCCCTTCAACTAGCTAGTCATTCCTTTTAAGACTCTTAAAACGATTTAGATATATGAGTCATTTTTTTAAAATTCAGGGAATATCTAAAATATCTCAGAAATGTAATAGTACAGTACAAACTTGGCAGATGATAAGCAGTTATCTAGAATTAGGTCTTTGGCACTTTTCCAGATTTGAAACAAAATATTGGTCTCTCCCAGGGCAAAAAGAACAATGTCACATCGCAAGTCCAAAGTCCCATCGGAAGCAGCCTTCCTTCTCCTTTTACCCAGGCGAAGCCAGAACGCTTCTGCACACAGCGCTGGCCGCCGTAGAAAGCCAACAAAGCCGCTGTAGATAAAAGCAGGGGCTGGGTAAAGGCTGTCTTTTGACCTAGTGTCTGGACCTTGACTCCTCGGTGATGCTCCAGGCCAAGGGGGGGACAGGATGGGCATTTTGCTGCCTCATGGTCTGTCCAGTGCAGTCAGGATGCAGAGAAAGGATAAAACAACTGTCTTACTCAGTGCAAAGAAGGAGATTCTCTGGCACCTGTTTTGGCAGTGTGAAAGCAATGTAAATTCCAGTCATTGATGAGAACAGCTTCTTACGTGATACAGAAGGTTATTCTGTAACAGTAATGGCCCAGCCATCGTTTATTCAACTGTAAGCCATTAATGAATGCTCATCTTCATTTTATGTAGAACATATTTATCTACATGTAACTGGACAAATAGGGAATGTTGAAAATGACCCTGTGAAAAGTACTGACCCACAATGCATCTGCTTGGTTTGGGGCAATTGAAATAGTTAGTATAGGCTCCCTCTGGATTTATGCTAGAATTTTGATTTAATTAGATTGGTGAATTAGACACACAGCATCTGAACTAAAGAGTGAGAAATACAATGTGAACCAGTTCAGTGAAGAGAAATTTATGCTCTGAATAAAATAATACATGTCAAACAATCTAAAAATTGATTTTAGCTTCCTTTGTATGGTAAATGTAACAGATCCTAATTTGACATCT